TAAGGCACATGGAATCCCCAGTATTAGGTGAGGGCCTTGGATCAAGGTGCTAATAATCACAGGCTGTCCTGTTCTTTAGGCTGCAGAAGTTTCGTCTGTCCAGGTCTAACTACCTTCAAACTTCTCTCCCCAGATATTCCAACGACTCACAAGTTTGAGTCTGTTGCAATCAATTCTAACCAGGAGAGGATAGTTGGCTCTTAATGTGATTTTCCTGATTTTGAGAGAACAGTATTTTCTAGAGGTTCAAAGCCTGTTACCTCCCAGCTACCCTGCCACCATGTCCTTGTTTCAGAGCCTACACCTTAGCAAGGTCCTCAGGGCAACTGCTGAGTGGGCTATTTACCCCCCTGCTGTCTACTTCAGTGACTTGGATTTAAAACATGAGTTCCATAACAGTGTGGGGGAGGTGAGAGAATTGCCTTTGAACCCTAACTCTTGTGCAGAACTTCATCAATGGCAACCGTGTGAGATGGAGCAGGACACTTCTCTCTGGAACTCAACTTTCACATCAACTAACGGCTGAAAGGATACAGTGGTGGCCCAGGCCTCTTCCTGCCTTGACAACATGTCTATGTGGAACCCTGCATGTCCTGTTTTTAGCCTGTCTCTGTGAAAGAGAGGCTGGGTGATAGAGTAGACTCTGGAGACAAGACATTTAGATATGATTCTGGCTCTAACTGGCTTTGTGAGCTTGGGACAGCCACTAACCCATTCTGGGCCTTCATTTTGTCATTTGGTAAACTGAGGAATGTCTTCATGGATGCAACAGGATGATAGTGATGATGATGAAGGTGGTGATTGATGATCTGTTTGCATAGCGATCAATCTCTACCTGAATTACAATTGTGATTGTTGCCAGGATGACAGGCGCCAGCTTCAGACTCTTAGGGAATGTGAAAGAATTCTCCAGGCTCAGCAAACATTCCCAGCAACAGCTATTACTGAGGTGAAAATGGAATTAACCCTTGCCAGCACCTATACCCATTTGTTTTTCCTATTCCTGTGAGGTAGGTTGTTTGTGTACCTATTTACTAGCGGAGTGATCAGTAAATAAACCTTTCAAAGACTTGTTTCTTCATCCATAAACTGAAGTCACAGAGGGCTGGGGGCATGGCTCAAGTGTAAAATGTCTGCCTAGCAAGCACAAGGTCCTGAGTTCAAACCCTAATACTGCAAAAAAAAAAAAAAAGGAGTCACTGGGTCTTTGAATGTTATAGTGGACATGTTGCTTTGGGCTGCCCCATGTCCAAATACTTTACCTAGGGCTGGCAGAGTGGCTCAAGCAGGAAGAGCACCTGCCTAAGTGTGGGGTCCTGAGTTCAAACCCCAGTGTTGCTAAAAATATTAAAGCAAATACTTTACCTATTTGAGGGACTTCCAAGATATTTGGAAGCTGAAGAAAGCAGGAACTCCATGCTCTGACCCATTGTGGATCTGGCCTGGGCTAAGGCTGAGTTCATGCCCTACCTGGGCTTTGAGTCTGTAAGAATTAAGGACAGTCACAGAGTACTTCAGTTGGCTACAATGGGGACAAGAGCCCAACAAGGCAGTGATGATCAGAAAGTAGCTGCATGGCCAAAAAAGGAGTCTGTCCTAAACAGGCAGCTCCTATGGCAGGATTTTGGCTGTATCCAGCCGCCCTTGATTCTTATCTGGTTTCGGTTTGCCTGTTACTTCAGTGAGCTATCCAATAGCCTTTCGATAAAGTCCTTTTTTACTAGCTCAGGGGAATCCTGCTGACAGTGGTGTCTGGGACCCAAGTATCAAGTCTGAGGCTCAGGGCTGGCACTCTGGTGGTACCCACACATGCAAACTCCCACGTGCGCAGGCTGCTGCGTTTTGTGAAGTGGCCCCTTCTGAAAACATGGATGCCCTGTGCATTAGCAACCTGGGGCAAGTCAGCAGCTGCCTGTGAGGCCATCAGGGAGGGAACAATATGTACCTGCAGAAGGGAATGCTGCATACCCATGCTAGCCTGGGGGTGGGGGGTCGGGGGGGGCCATGCTTGGGAGATGGAATAGGGATGGGGGAACAGATAGAAGCCTAAACTGAGGCCCCCCTCTGCTACCCCTACAGGGCCTATACTAAGCAAGGGAGGTTTTAGCTCCTCTGTGTTGGCAAGGTGGTTTAATTGGAATTAATGGAAGAAAAATTTGCAATGAATATGGATAATGCAGGCGATAAGGCCCCAAAGGAGGGTGGAAGAGTGACAGCTGAGGACAATGAGAATTAGGCTGTGACTCCATGGATGAGACTAGGTGGTGGACAGCAGGGAAATTACTTGTCCCTAGGGGCCTATGACCATCCTGCTGACCTGGGTCCCCACCCTGCACTGGCCTTCCCACCTGGATAGAGTCAGACAATGTCAGACTCAGAGGATCATAGGATTAGAACGAGGCTCAAGATTCTGGAATCACAAACCTTTAGCATCACATATGTTACCAATAGGAAATTTCAGAATCTAACATTGTGACAAGTGGAGGACCTTGGGGGAAAATCTAGGACCTAGAGAAAAATATTTCTCTAACATTCATTTAATAGCAGTAAGTAACATCTGTTGAGCATACTGCACCTTCCAAAGTCCTTTCACAAGTCGTGGCTCCAGTGGCGCAATCGGTTAGCGCGCGGTACTTATACAAAGTCCTTTCACATCTGTACAGCTATCACATAGGTGTTCAGATTAAGTAATCGGCAGAAGACAAAATGGTTGGTCAGGATTGGAACCCACACCAAAGGAGTTTTTTTGGGTTGGTTTGGGGTTATTTTTGTTGTTTGTTTGTTTTGTTTTGGTGGTACTGCATATTGGATTTTGAACTCAGGGCCTTGTGTTTTCTAGGCATGCAATCTACCACTTTTTTTTTTATTCATATGTGCATACAATATTTGGGTCATTTCTCCCCCCTCCCCCGGCCCCCTCCTTTACCCCCTACCCCATCCCCTCCCTCTCCCCCCCCACCCCCTTGATACCTGGCAGAAACTATTTTGCCCTTATCTCTAATTTTGTTGAAGAGAGAGTATAAGCAATAATAGGAAGGAACAAGGGTTTTTGCTAGTTGAGATAAGGATAGCTATACAGGGAGTTGACTCGCATTGATTTCCTGTGCATGTGTGTTACCTTCTAGGTTAATTCTTCTTGAACTAACCTTTTCTCTAGTTTCTGGTTCCCCTTCTCCTATTGGCCTCAGTTGCTTTTAAGGTATCTGCCTTAGTTTCTCTGCGTTGAGGGCAACAAATGCTATCCAGTTTTTTTAGGTGTCTTACCTATCCTCTTATCTCCCTTGTGTGCTCTCGCTTTTATCCTGTGCTCAAAGTCCAATCCCATTGTTGTGTTTGCCCTTGATCTAATGTCCGCATATGAGGGAGAACATACGATTTTTGGTCTTTTGGGCCAGGCTAACCTCACTCAGAATGATGTTCTCCAATTCCATCCACTTACCAGCGAATGATAACATTTCGTTCTTCTTCATGGCTGCATAAAATTCCATTGTGTATAGGTACCACATTTTCTTGATCCATTTGTCAGTAGTGGGGGGGCATCTTGGCTGTTTCCATAACTTGGCTATTGTGAATAGTGCTGCAATAAACATGGGTGTGCAGGTGCCTCTGGAGTAACCTGTGTCACAGTTTTTGGGTATATCCCCAAGAGTGGTATTGCTGGATCAAATGGTAGATCAATGTTTAGCTTTTTAAGTAGCCTCCAAATTTTTTCCAGAGTGGTTGTACTAGTCTACATTCCCACCAACAGTGTAAGAGGGTTCCTTTTTCCCCGCATCCTCGCCAACACCTGTTGTTGGTAGTGTTGCTAATGATGGCTATTCTAACAGGGGTGAGGTGGAATCTTAGTGTGGTTTTAATTTGCATTTCCTTTTGCAATCTACCACTTAAGATATGCCCTCAGTCCTCTTTTTTTTTTTTTTTTTTTTGGTCTTAATTTTTTTTTTGTTTTTTCAGGCAGGGTCTTGAGCTTTCTGCCTGAGGCCGGCCTCAGACTGAATTTCTCTTATTTATATGTCCTACATAGCAGGGATTACAAACGTTGACCACTTAGCTTGTTTGTTTGGTCTTTTTGGTTTGTTTTTTTGGTAGTGCTGAGGTTTGAACTCAGGGCCTCATGCTTGCTAGGCTCACTTGAGCCACTGCACTGGCCCAGGTTGTTTGTTGAGATGGGATCTTACTAACTTTCCCCCCCAGGTTGTGGAATAACCTCAGTCCTCTCAATCTCCCACTCTTGAGTAGCAGGGATTGCAGGCAAGGTTTTGTTTTGTTTCCTTTTGTGCTGGGAATGGAACCCAGGGCCTTGTGCATGCTAGGCAAGTGCTCTACCACTAAGCCACATCCCGAGCCTTGTGCCAAGGTTTTGATGCCGTCTTTGGAGTTATAGGAACACTGCTAACGACTTGCTTTAATGTGTTTAAATTCTCTGTTTGTTGTGCAAATTCTGCATGGTTGTGTATGTTTTTCTTAGTGCATCCTGCCATACTGTAATGCTTAAAAATACGATTATCCTTGTTGCATCAGCATAACCAAGGCTGGAGCATTTTGCGATTTTTTTTTTTTTTTTTGGCAGGTCTTTATCATCCAGCACTATTTTCAGTTCACAAAGTACTGGAAACAATATATCCAAGAATAGATTTAAAGTCACTAATGTAAAGACTGAATTTCAAATCATTGGTAGCTTTAGTCAGAGCATGTTCTGATTTTCTTTGAATAAAAAGTTAAACTACCAAAGATAGAGCAGGAAGATAAAGGAAAAATAAGCCTCGGTGGCTAGGAGGCATAATGAATGCCACACGGAGGTTGTAGTGAGGGCCAAGGTCACATACTTCAGGGAATCCCGAGCTGGAGAGTCTGTCTGGGACAGGCTTCGGGGGAGCCTGAGGGGAAATCTTACATCTCTGGGGCTCAGTTTTCTCTGATTTCAAATGGGGACAGTAATTCCTGCGTTCTCCCCCCCCCCCGCCTAGAAAGTTGGGGAGTTTATTAGCCCTGGAGGAGACCTACAGCCCGGCAGGCCGTAAGAGATGTCCAAGGGGGAGGGGCGCGGAATAGCAGGGAGCTGCAGAGGGTTTGGTCTCCATGGAAACGCGCCGCAGCCGCCAGAGAGAGAAAGAAGGCGGGGCTTGGGAACCCGGAGCTGGAGGTTCGGAGGATGAAGGTTTCACAAAGAAAGCTCCCTTCTCCCTGGAAGGCCTTCCATATAGATCAGCCCTCTGTGCTGGACTGGGCGGTGACTTTGCTCCGCTAAAAAAGTGGAGCAGTCTTCACACTGTAGTGTGAATGTCTAATTTATCACCCAACCGTCTGAGAGATTCCTGAGGCAGAAAGTAAAACAGATTCATTCCTACAGTACAGGGCAAGGCCTGGCACACAAAAGATTTAAGTGTATATTGGCTGGGGCTAGGGAATCATCTATTTGTCCAAAGCCCTGGGAGTCACAGTGGGTATCCTTTTTAAAATATGAAGTCAAAGCTGGTGTGGTAGTACATATCTGTAATCCCAGCACTCTGGAGGGTGAGGCAGGAGAATCAGGCGTTTGAAGCCAGCCTGAGCCACACAGTGTGACTCTCTCTCAAGAAAAAAATGTAACACTATTCTGTCTCTGTGAGACCTTTCAAGTATTGCTGTGACCCACCAAGGACAAATTCAGTCCATACTTCCTTCAAAGGCTTCCAGACTATTTCTTATTTCCTGCCTCAGAATCTCTGCAGCTCTAATGGCCCTTACCCGTCACTAGTGGGGTATTTGGAAAAGAGATTTCCCTGAGGAAAAAGGGAACTCAATTTCCCAAGACCATTGAGACCCTAGGAATTTGGACTACTTACGAAATGAATTTGATGCAATCCACAAAGAAGGCACACAAGGTAGCAGGCCGGCAGAGATTTATTCTGCATAGGGAGACAAAATGGGAGAAAGGAAAAAGGAAGAGTAAGCCAGCACCTTTTGAGAAGCAGTCAAGGTGGGAGCTAAGGCTCGTGGTCTGGTCTTCATCCCAGGGTATCTATGTCCCTGACTGGGCTGGGGGCATCCAGTTCAAAATTGGACACTGGATGTCTGGTCAGCTAGCGACTTTCCAGGTATCCTGTTTGATACCATCGCCCAAGCATGGAGACAATGGGTCTGAGTTTGCCTTACAATCCAGAGGTCTTTGGGGGGTGGTGCCATAGCTCAAGAGGTAAGAATGCCTCTTTGAAAGCATGAAGCCCTGAGTTCAAACTCCAGAACTGCCAAAAACAAAACAAACAAAAGGTCTTTGGGACATGGGTATCTGTTCTTTGTGGTCTTTTTTTAGGTATTCTTTTTGGTTGCAGATTTACAAAAACCAGGCATTTTCTATTCTTGGATTCAATTCCTTATCTAAGGGCATTATATCTCATTTAGCAGCTAAAAGAAGAGAGAGTGATGGAAGGAATGTAGGTCTGTTCATTCTTGAACAATTGACTCAATTCCTTGCTGTCGCTCTCACCTCCTGAACCTGGCTTATTATTTTTATATGTTTACTAATTTCACTGTCACCTTCCTCAACCCCACACAGTGGTATTTATACAACAACTCTCCCTGACTTCTCTCTAGGGACTTCATAAACTAGCTGACTGGACTTCTTTTGCTCCAGATAGAAATCACAGGCAGGCATGGAGAAGCTTTTCCAGTAGTTTTAAGCCCTTGCAGGTATTCACAGGCAACAGGGAGGATGACAATGGGTAGCAGCAGTCAGCCCTGAGCTACTGATGGGGATGGCATGAGGTCTGGGAACCTAAGGTGAGGGGTGGTCTCTACCAGCTGATCCCGACCAGCTGCCATGAGTTTTACTTTCTCTATTGTTCAACCATATTCTCTGCTGCCAGCATTGCCTACCCCTGTCCTCTAGTTTTTTTTGTGTGAGTGTGATATTGGGGTTTGAACTCAGGGCCTACACCTTGAGCCACTCCACCAGCCCTTTTTTTGTGAAGGTTTCTTTCCCCCCACCCCGAGATAGTCTCGCCAACTATTTACCCGGGATAGCTTCAAACTGAAATCCTCCTGATCTCTGCCTCCTGAGTAGTTGGGATTATAGGCGTGAGCCACCAGCGCTAGCTAGGAGCAGGGTTTTTGAGGAAAAAAGAAATAATGTTTATTATTCATCGGACAAAGAGGAGGACAATTAGATTCAACCTCTCAAAGTTCTGTTGTCCCTCTTACAAAATGTCTGCTTTTTATTATCCTTTTTTTTTGATGGTACTGAGATTTGAACTCAGCCTCACGATTGCTAGGCAGATGCTCTACCACTTAAGCCACTCCACCGCCCAAATGTCTGCTTTTTAAAAGGGAGTTCAGGGGCTCAGTTTGAATACACCATGAAATGGATGTCCAGAATTGGTGCTGGCCTTGGTTCTCCAGGTGCCTGGCAACACATCTCTAAAGCTGTATGTCTTGGTTGACAGGTTTAATTCTCTGGTGTTCAGAAAGAAAGATAAGGAATCGAAGACTGCCTGGTTTAATTGAAGAGTAAAGTTTGTTAACCTTGGGCTCTCCGCATGTAGACAAAGAGGGAAAATATGTCAGTTTGATTAACAAGCAGAATAAATTGGTCAGCATACAAGCTGGCTAACCAAAAGTTTTTCCCTTTTGTAGTCCTGGTTACAAAAGCCTTTATTGGGATCTGGTGCTTATAACATGAGAGGTGCAGCATTAAGGGTGCCTCCTATGTGCTCACCAAAGTAAGTTCAGCAACCTCTTTATATATCCTGAAGGGTGTGTGTACCAATCACAACAGTCCCCTCATGTTTACATCAATCAGGTACAGTCTGTTATGCATATGAAGGACTGAGCTCACACCAATCGTACATTCTGCTATGCAAATGAAGCATTGTGTTTGCACCAATAACAGGTCTTCTGTTGAGGTGAAGTCCAGTACAAGCTGCTTGCTGGGGTAGTAGTGCCTTCTGGAGCTGAAGTCCTGCTTTGGGTTTGGCATGAGGTCAGTTCAGCTGCTTGGTTGGTAGTCCTTTGCTCAAGGCAGCCAAGACCCTAGAGAATGGTTTAGCAGCTGTCAGTTAGGGATTAAGTCTCCCTTGCCCCCAATATTTCAGCACACATAAGAAAAAAATTAAATTTTCAAAATGGAGGGTGGTAATAGAGCACCTGCCTAGCAAGTACAAGACCCTGAGTTCAAATCTTGATACCCTAAAGAAAAGGGTGCTTACAACAAAGGCCTATCAGTAACAATACCTTAATATTTAGCACTGCTCTAACAATGCTTAACTTCTGTTTCAGTGTCCCAGTGAGAGGTGAGTCCCTGCTGTTTCAAAACTTACTCTTCATCCCTAGTAAGGGCAAAGTGGCATGCTCCATCTATCCTAAGGGGCTTGTCACCATGCTGGACCCACAGTATGTCCTCACTGAACACTGAGTGGACCATCCACTCAGGATGGCCTTGATCCTGTGAGGCATGGAAAGGCATGCCAGGAGCCATTCTCAGATCCGTGATTGCACCACATGTGAGAGCCTCCCATGTACTTGGGTGAGATCCAGGGCTCTGCAGCAGAGCAGGGCATGTGGCTTTCCTGGGCTCTGACCTGTGGCTTGGCCTGTTACCCTAGGGGGCAGGTGTTCAATAAGTCTTAAAGGCAGAGAGCCTGAGTGGCAAATTGTATGTCACTGTCATAAAGGAGAGCAAATTATCACCTGAAGTGCTTCAACCCCTGCTCTGTGGCTCCCTTTCCCCTCAGATTAAAAGTCTTAACAGGGTGAAGACTTCAATACTTGGCCCTTCTGCCCCTCTAGTTTCATCTCTTGCCATTACTCACCCTGACTCTAGTGTCCACTAAACAGAATTACTTATTGTTACTTGAAATCACCACATGTCCTCTCTAAACTGTGGGCCTTCCTATATGCTGTTCCCTCTGCCTTGAATGCTGTTCATCATATTGGATCACAAATCCCCTTTCACCTGTCAGTGGGTTCAGGACTTAATTCCTCCAGGAAACCTTCTTTGAAGTCCTTAGTTGAGATAAGAACTTCTTGTAGGGAAAAAAAAAAAAAAAGGAAAAAAAGAAAAACCCAAAAAACAAAACAACAAAAAAATAACCTCTTGTAGATGCCTATAGCCATGAGTCCTTTAAAGACAGGGATCTGGGAGGCTGGCAGAGAATCATTGTCAATGTTGAATGGACACAGGCAATGTTTGAGGAGAGGCTAGAATGCCACCTGGCAGAAATGCTATAAAGGAGAGTGGAAGGTTCTAAGATTTCCAAGTTCTTTAATTCTTGGCTAAGGACTTTGACTATGGCTCTCCTCCATCTGTAGCCCACTCCGCAGCTAGCCACCTCCACCCTGTGCCCCTGAGTACTTTGTTCTCAGACAGTCACACACACATTCTGAACATAACCGGGAAAGCAATTTAAAGAAATAATTGCTGGTCCATGTGAGCCACAGTGAGCTCAGACTATTCCTGTCTGAGTCAGCCCACCCACCTCCTGCTTAGCTGCCCTGGGGGAGGGATTCTGGCCTCCCAGGGTGGGCAGTTTGTTTCTAAAGCAGAACTCAGACAAGCCAACCCCAGTGAAAGCCTGCTCTGAGGATTGATTGAATTCAAAGGAGAAAAACATAGGGGTGGGGAGCTTCATGAGGCTGGTAATGTGTAGGCAGCTGGCACCTTCTATTCTCTACCTATGCCCACCCTATAGGCATGCACTCCTGTGAGGAAGACTCTACCAGGTCTTCAGGGCCCTGCTCTGTGTGAGGTCTTGTCCTAACCTCTGTACCCAGAGTCTCAAAGCCGGTCTTTGTTCATCAAGGCCAGTTGTACTCCAAGGGTGGTCCCTGACCAGCAAGCATCACCTGGAACTTATTAGAAATGCAAATTGTAGGGACGTCTCTCCGGCCCTAGTGACTCAGAGCTGGGGTGGGGTGAGGGGCAGCAGCCTGTGGATTAATCAGCCCTTTGCTGAGCCTGATGCAGTCGAAGTTCAAGACCCCTGATGGCCACTTGAGTTTTTAGAATCTGCTGATTCCCTCTCCCGCACAAGGCTGGGAACATGTGCCAGGACATGATCAAATTCTTCCTTGTAACTTCCCAGAAGGCCCAGTTCTGAAAGTGTTCAGAGAAGAATCAAATTTTCCTGATGAGGATACAGAGAATAGATTTGTCCCAGGAAAGGTCACGAACAAGGGTGACTACCATGACTGTCACCCACCCTCACTACAAACCCTAAGTGCTCCCTACAACAAAATGACTCGCAGTTCCTGGGCCACACTGGGCTCTCGCCATTTCTGAACAGCCTGTACTCTGACCATCATGTGTTTCCACCCTGTCTCACCTGGAAACTGACTCATCTTTGATGATTCGGCTCAGACATCGCTTTCTTCCTTCTTCAAGCAGTGTGAAAACCCCCTGAAAGCCCGCTCCTTTTTTGTACCTTGCCGTCCATATGAGCCCCTGTTTCTGGCAACTCGAATAGGCCCTGGCAGAGAACAGACACTCACTGCCAAGTATATGATTAGTGGACAGAGGTGCTGCAAATAAACGACCATGCACACACACAATGATAAATTAAGACCAAAGTCAGGCCTCCTGACCTTTAGCCTAGGGTACTTTTGTGGGTGGTTAACCCTGCTTCCCACCCCACATTTATGCCTTTGGCTGGCTCAGGAGCTGTGCACAGATATCTAAGAGTGACTGTGTAACTGTTGCCAAATCCAACGACAGATCATGTCACTGTCTGAAATGTCAAGAGCTGTTTGCAGTGACTCCTGTGTCTCTCTGAGCCTTGTCTTACACTCCCAAGCAAAGCATTTGCCAAAGTTAGGACAGCAGCAGGGAAAGAGGGCTGGTGATGAGCATCTGCTCTAAGATTCCTTTACTACTAGCTTAGTAATTTAAAAATGTTAACAATAACAGCAGCTAACACATAGTACTTTCCATTTGCTAACACTTAAATACTTGTGAGACAGGCTAGAATTAGGGAAAGTTCAGGACTCTTAGAATATATATGACTTTACATTGTATTTCAGATTGAACATTCCTCTCTGTGCCTTCCATTCTGTTTGCAAATGTAGGTTATACACACCCTAGCTCAAGGACAACTAAAACCACCTTCACCTGGCCCAGGGACCACCCATGCTCCTCCCCACTCATTGATTATTGGTTGGGAATCACCAGGTTCTTCCCTTCCCAAATGTTAGCATAAATTTTAAAAGCACCTGCAAAAGAAAAACTCACTCTCTTTGCTTCCAACTTCAAGCTGGTCCTACCATGCTCCCTTTTGTAATTCCTTGCCCTAATTTTTAACTCCATTTACATCTGTTGGGTCTGGAGACCTAAGGCAGATGAATGAGTATCCCATTCCCCCCATGGACAGCACTGTGATCCATGCATCCTGAGAAGGAGTTGTAAACCTGAATTCCTACACCCTGAAGAGGAGATACAGGTCTCATAGATCTGCCACAGGGCTGATGAGTAAAATGCTCTCAAGGTCGTTTCCCCTCCCCCATAAGGGGCAAACAGACCAGTTCATCTAAGAAAGCCCACGAATCCATGGCAAATGAAAAGAGCCCTCCTAACCTTTACCCAAACCCAGAGTTAAAACATCCATAAAAACCCCAGCCTTCACCTGAGCAGCAAGCTACGTTTCCAGGCTCTGCTGCACTGCTCTAGCCGTAGCCTTTCCTTTCTCTTTAACAAATCCCACTTCATACACCGGCTTTGGCTCGTCAATCTGCTGCCTTACAAGCTGGTTCTCTGGCCTGTAAAGACAAGGACCCTCAACACCGGCCCGTAACGCTTCAAACCAGCACATAACATAACCATGTGTCCTGCCATGGATTCTTCCACGTGGGACACAAAGAATTTGGAAATTTTCTGATCAGAGACTGCACCATTGCCATTAACAATTGCATGGACTAAATAATTTAATCCTCCCCCAAGCCCTAGGAGGTAGGTACTATCTTCCCTGCTTGTCCAAATGAGAGAATTTAGTTACCTAGCAAGTGGCAGGGAAAGTATTTTAAACAGGCATTTGGCTCCATAGTCACTGCTAATAATGACCATATTGCACTACAACACTCATCTGCAATTTAAAAAGTCGTCCAGTACTTTAATGTTTAGGAAGAGAATTCAAATTCATTACTTTATTAAGCACTTGAAATAACTTAGCAAGGGAACTGAGGGTCACGGAGACTAAGGGACTTTATCAAGCCCACCCCCTGGAGCCTGTGCTGGGCTCCTAACCAATCATTTTCTCACCCTCACCCACCTAAGGAAGTGTGTGCATGCTACACTTCTGCTCACTCCAGGGTGGGCAGAGCAGCTGGAGAGGCAGGGACCACCACCCTCTGAGTGCGGAGTCCTTCCCAGGGGCCCTAAATACACCTCCTCTGGGACAGGGAGACCAAATAAAAGTTCTGACTCTCCCATCAGAAGAGGGCTGAGTCTCCACAGGCCCCAGGCTCTGAGTGTATGGCATTGTTACTACCATTCTCATGCCCAGGTGCCTTTGGCCTGTGGCTGGCCAGATAGAGCAGGACCTGGTGCCTCTGCCGGGAAAGCTCTCATCTATCACACCAAGCTCCACCCTCATTTCCACCTTTCACCAAAAACAGACTCCAGAAGGAATGCTGTAGAGACATTTATTGGATGTTTATAGGACTGGGCAACATGGGTCAGGGGTGGGGACGGGTACCTCCTCAGGGCTGCCTGGAATGTCACTGGCAGTCACTGTGGCCATGAAGCAGTGCTGGAGGAGTTGTTCGGAGCCCACAGCCCACCTCTCATTGCTTTCCATCTGTGGGGTCAAGACAATGTAACTCTGCCCAACAGGGCTCACCCCTAACGCCTCCATTGCAACAGCTGTGTTCGTACTTTGGCAGTCAGGGGACACTTCCACAGGGCCTGAAAAACAGCAAGGTTTCCTCCTGTATCCCCTTCTTCCCCACCAGGACCACACCCCCACTAACTTCTCTGAGAGCTTACCTTGGACAGCCTGTGTGTTCAGTCTTTAGTTACATCATTCATAAGACAAGTATTTGTTAGGGATGCATCACGCCATGCACTAGGAGCTGTGAGTGTTTCTTATGAGCTTACGCTACAGTAGGGAAAACAGACAATAAACAACTTCGAGGAGCATGAAGATCAGACCTTCACCATAACCCTGGCAGGTAGGTTCTATTAAAAATCCATTTTACAGATGAGCACACAGGCTACCACACAGCCAATATGCAGATGAGTGTGGGGTGTTTTTTAAAACTTACAGGATACTGCTTTAGGAAGAGGTTCCATGATTTTCTTCACCAACTGCCTCATCCTTTTCCTCTCCCTTATGTCTGAGCTCAAAAAGAAGCCTACTTGGCCTTAGTATTTCCCATTGTGACGTTTTCTGCTGTGACTTACTGCTTTCTGCCCCCACCACACCTAACAACTTTTTTGCTACTACATCTCACGGTCACTTCTGGATCCCTATCTCATTTGACACAATTGAGCATTTCTGCTTTTTGGATTAAAAAAAAACTGTAGGAGTGTTTAAGCCAGGACGTTGAGTCATCTCTTACACCTTCTCCCCTAACCTCTTCACAGAGCCGAGAAACTCACCAGGTCCCATTGATTGCACCTAATCACCACCTGCTACCTCTACCCATTTCTCAAGGCCACACCTCAGGTCAGACTTCCCAGACCCCTGGAATGGGTTCCCTCTGATCTGTTCTCCATGTTATAGATGGAGAGATCTTTCTAAGGTCAAGTGAGTCCATGTACTTTTCTTTCTCAAGAGCCTCTAACGTCTCCCCATTGCCCATGATCCTTGAGGTGGCGTTCCAGGCTCTTCATGAGCTGACCCACCTCCCTCTTCAGCTTGGTTACTACCACTCATCCTGCAACAACTCCAGGCTTCACCACGCCAGCATTCTCACCGTTCCCAAAGGGGTCCTTTCCTTCACATCTCTGGGCCTTTCTGGTGCTTGTTTCTCTGCCTGCAACAACATTTTACGCTTTCTCTGCCTAGGAAACTTGTGCCGTAACATCCATGATGGAGAATATGCAAGAGGAATGGTGCCTCAGAAACCAGAGGAAGAGTGAAATTTTAGCCAGGGGTTGGCTACCCAACGTCCATTCCATACCTTCCCACCCGGACAGGAGCACTTAGTTTGGTGGAATTGGCCCCATCCCAGCTCCAAGTGTAGAACCTGATGGCCCTGAACCAATAAGGTTATCCTATCCCTTTGCCACGCGGCTGGGCAATCGATGCGTAGTATTTACCTGGTTGCAGTGATTGGTTTAGGAATGGGCAAATGACTTTAGATGGTCCAATCAGGTGAGAGCTCAATCTCTTTTTCTCCTCCTGCTTGGTGGAAACAAAAAGCATGTAGTCCCAGGGACTGCTGGCAGACAATTTACCACCAGGAGAAAAGTCAGTCTGAGGAGAATGCCAGCACAAGATATAGGGCAGAGCTGAGGGAGTCTTTTAGTGGAGACTCAGACCTGAGGACTGTGAGGGTCTGCACAAACCAGGCCTAAAGCCAGTCCTACTTGTGGACTTTTTACCCACAGAGCCAATACGTTTCCTTTTGTTTGCTCTGTTTTGAACTTTCTAGTTTTAAATAATTTGAGTCTTATAAGAAGTTATAAAAACAGTACAGCTGGATGCTGGTGGCTCACACCTGTAATTCTAGCTACTGAGGAGGCAGAGATCAGGAGGATTGCAGTTTGAAACCAACCCAAACAAATAGTTCAAGAGACCCAATCCCAAAAAAACCCATCACAAAAAAGGGCTGGCAGAGTGGTTCAAGGTGTAGGCCCTGAGTTCAAGCCCCAGTACCTCCAAAATCCACCACCACAACCAACAAAAAGCATAGAGATGGAGTATACCCTTTATTTAGCTTTCCCCAATGATAGTATCTTACATAATCATAAGGAGTATATTACATAAGTAGGAGACTGATATTGATAGTATATGATTAAGTAACTGATAGATCTTATTCACTTTTACCAGTTTTTATATGTACTTATTCAAGACTTCGTGCTTGCAAAGCAAGTGCTCTACCTGGAGTTTCTACCTGGAGCCATGCCTCCAGTCCAATTTGCTCTGGTTATTTTGGAGATGGAGTCTCATGAACTATTTGCCTGGGCTGGCCATGAACCTTCATCCTCCTGATCTCAGCCTCCTAAGTACCTCGAATTACAGGTATGAGCTACTGGCACTTTTTTTTTTTTTTTTTGGTAATACTGAGGTTTGAGCCTATGGTTATACCACCCTGAATGTACCCGATCTTGTCTGGGGTTTGAACTCAGGGCCTCATGCCTATTAGACAGGTGCTCTACCACTTAAGCTACTCCACCAGCCCTATATGTACTTTCTGATGTATAGTCCTATGAAATTTTATTTCATAGGATAGTGATTTATATAATCACTGCCATTACAATCAGGATAAAAACTTTCCCATCTCCACTCAGAAACCTCCTGACACTGCCCCTTTATATCAGACTTTCTCCTTAAACCTAATGCCTGGTAGCACTAATTCACTCTGCATGACTTTAAGTTTGTCATTTTGGAAGTGTTATATAAATGGAATATTCTCTACCTTTTGAGATTTTTTTCTCACTTGGCCTAGTAACTTTGAGACTCATCCAAGTCTTATGGCTGTGTAGTATTCCATTATATGGCTATATTGTTTGCCCACTGAAAGACACTGAGATAGTTTACAGCTTGCCTATTAAAACTGTTACTGACTGGTCTGATTTATTTATTTATTTATTTTACCTATGGAAGTCCAGTTGTTCTAACACCATTTATTAAAAAGTCTATTCTCTCCAGTTGAATTTTGTGTGTGTGTGGTGCTGGGTATTGAACCCAGGTCCCTGGGCATGCTAGGCAAGTACTCTACCAGTGTGCTACATTCTCAGCCCCCAGAGCTGAAATGTTTTTGCACCTTTGTCAAAAATCTGGAAGCATATCATGTGGGTTTATTTCTATATCGTGTTTGTTTGGTTTTGAAACAGGGTCTCATTATGTAGCCTAAGATGCCCTCAAACTCAACAACCCTCCTCCCCAGTCTCTTTAGTGCTGAGATTACAGGTGAACACCACCACACCTAGCTTAGACTGTATTTTGAGCTATGTATCTTCCCTCATCTAATACCACACTCTCCTGGTTACTGTTGGTTGCTGTTGCTATATATTAAGTCTTAAAATGATGTAGTGTGAGTTCTTCCAACTGTATTATTTTCCAACATTTCTGTAGCTATTCTGGCGTGTCTTTCCGTAAGAATTTTAGAATTAGCTTGTCCATATATAACCAAAAAAGTTGCTGCAATTTTTATCTTTACTCTATTGAGTCTTCTGATTCTTGAACACAATGTGTCTTTCCATCTATTTGGGTCTCCTTTGAGTTCCTTCATCAGCATTTCCTAGTTTTTTTGTTTTTATTTATTTTTGTGTAGTGCTGGGGATCGAACCCAGGGCCTTCACATGCTGGACAAGAGCTCTAAAACTGGCTATGTCCCCAGCCAATTTTTTAGCTTTTAATCATACAGATCATGCACTTATTTTGTTAGATTATACCTATTGCATTATTTTTGGAGCAACTATAAATGGTATTAATGTGTTCTTCATTTTGGTTCTCAATTTTTTGATGCTAGTATATATGATACAATTGGTGTCTGGTTTCGACCTTATACAGTGTAATCTTGTTCAACACACTTACTAGGTTCTAAAGGTTATTCTGTATATATGTTTTGTAGATTCATTAGGATGTGATTAAAGTTTGTATTTATTTATTTAATTTTGAGACAGGTCTTGCCATGTAGACCAGGCCAGCCTCAACTTTGGATCATCCTGCCCCAGCCTGGGCATTAAAGACTGGGATTAAAGACTTGCAGCACCATGCCCGGCTAAACTTGCATTTTAAAATATTCCAAGTGGTACAGGGGTTTAGTTCACCATCTATTCCATACAAGAATCCCCTTAGGTGAATCCTATATTTAGCCTTTTCCTGATTTCCTTCTATCAACGTAGGTGCCTTTTTTTTTTTTTCCTAAATCAAGAATTACAATTGATGAACTAAATATGGCTCTGAGTGATGGGGCTGCTTTTTAGATGAGTAATTCAGGCCTCACTATAATGAGTAAGCTCTACCTTTATTGAATCAATAAAGGTAAATAAACACCTGCCTTCCTACAGCTTCCCTCATGCATCCAAGATCTGTTCTGCTCCTCACAGAATGTCTGCTTCTTTTGGCTCTTCTTCCCAGACCTAAGCTGGTCACCTGCCTCTGACCACCTTCAGAGTGGTCAAAGTCCTCTTAAATTGTGGGGCTCTGAGCAGCTGGCCACCAGGGCTCTGGGGAATCCTTTGGGTTTCCAGGAGTTACAAGATGTTGGCTTATATCCTCACTTTAATATTAAATCATTGTACTACTTTGTGCCAACCTCTCCTTCTCTTTGAGTCTCAGTTACTACTTCATAAATGGGGTAGAAGGTAGGGATGGACAAATTTTTCTGTTTCTATTTTTTGAATTCCAAGTTTTAAAGGATTCTTTGTACATAATATATTGCATCTCTTAAATATGATTTAGCCTCATTTGTATTACGGAGCTCTGACAGGCAGGAGAAAACACGTATTAATTCCTTCTCCCCAACTGATATAATTCTAGCTCAAAGCAAAGAAGCGGAGGGAATGGGAGGGGAGGAGAGGAGAGGAGAGGGGAGGGGAGGGGAGGGGAGGGGAAGGGAGGAGAGGTGGAGAGAGGAGAGGAGATCCCCAAATATAGAATAACTGGAACCTACAGAATAGATGATAAGAAGCTACCTGAGATGTGACAGCTGATGTGTTCTATCCAACTTGGACTAAAGCAGGACTGTCACTCCTTTGTTCCCAGCCCCTATACTTACTTCTGTTGTGACCTGAGATTCACTCCCTATTTTTTTTCCAACACTCATATCACACTTCTGGCTTATGCTGAACTTGCAGACTCTGTCTTTTCTGTTGTTTTTGAGCCAGGATCTTGTTATGTTTCCAGGCTGGTCTCCAATTCCTAGGCCCCAGCGACATTCCTGCCTCGGCCTCCCAAGCAGATGGGACGACAGGCATGTGTCACCATATCTGGCCCCATCATATCTCTGTCTTTCTTTTTTCTTTTTTGCAGTACCAAGATTTGAATGTGGCCTAGTGCTTGCAGGTAGGTACTCTACCACATCTGTATCCGAGGACCCTTAAATCCCAGACTTCCAGAGAAGCCAGTGGAATAGGCACTTTCTCCTACATAGAGGGTCCAAGAGCACTTTCTTATCTCCCTTTGGCTGATATGTAATGGGGTTATTAAAGTCCTACAATGCTACCTGAAGCCTGAGGTGGGAGAGTAGGGTCCCCACTTTACACTACAAAGTGTAAAGCAGGAGAATTTATTGAGAGAAAAGTGTAAAGTGGAAGAGTAGAGCCCCCAGAGTTGGGGGGGAGGCGTCTCAAGGGAGGGTGCCAAAAGCTGCTCTTTGTATGTTTGTTTTTTTCAAGTCAAGAGATACATTGGATAGAAGCAAACATGAAAGTTGTATTTTGAAGGTCTAAGAAGATTCAGGTTTCCTAAGTAGCTAAAATGCACTGATCCAATCATCTTATCTGATTCTCCTAACAAGTATCTGAGATGGGTATTATTATTCCAATCGATAGTAAATAATGATGTCCAAACAAGGAAAAATCAACATTACATAGCTACTAAGTATTGGATTCAGGTTTCCTTTTTGCTGGTTTCGAAAGCTCTTTCAACAGAGCAAGCACACCCCTACGATAGGTCATATGTTAGGTCCTGGGGATACAGAGGCATTGAAGATGTGGCCCCTGTTTGCAAGATATCAGTTTCTGCAAAGAGATTAGCATGTTAAAATCTAAATGCCTAACAACAATTGAAATAAGAACTTCTTGGGGCTGAAGGTAGTAGAGTAAATGTTTAGCATGCATCTGGCCCTGGGTTTGATCTCCAACAGAAAAAAGAAGAGGAGGAGAAAGAGAAAAAGAAAAAAGGGAGTCAACTATTAATCATTAAAAGCCTACCATGAGTTTGAGACAAATTAGGTATAAGCATCTTATCTAGTTTTTTCAACAACTTCCTTAGTAGGTATTATTGTTTGCAACACAGCAAAGGAGGAGCTATAGCTGAGTTAGAGAAAAAGGCAGAGAGGCTAAAGCTATCATTTAGTAAGCAGTCAGAAAATGCATTTTCCATCTTAAAAATGAGAAGCAAAAAAGAAAGAGCACAAACCTTGGTGACTAAATAACCTGGCTGGTGTCTGAGCAGTGAGTAGTGGGAGGGCAGTTTCATTCACTGAACCAAGGATGAACTGTATGCCCTCTTAGCTGGAATGACTGGTAGGGCTGAGGGGGCGGTGCAGATGGGGAGAGGACAAGGAGAGCAAAGCATGAGGCTGGAGAATCCATAGGCCTGGCCTGGCAAGATGGAAACAGTAAGACTTGGGAGGCACAGACAAAAATGTTTGAATTCTAGTTCCATAATTTACAAGCTGTGACCCCCTTGGAAAGTCATTCAACCTCTCTGAGTGTCTGGCACATATAGGGATGTCCATTTCTTAGCAACAGGATAAGGAGAGAAAGGAGGGTGGAGGTAAAGTTCGTGTCACTCACTCACTTCAGCCTCAGTTTTCACGTCTATAAAATGAAAGTAGTAATAATACCTCTACACTGCTCACTTACTGTGAAGAGTAAATGAGACAATCTACTTAGAGCTGGTTCTTCCTTTCAGTACTGTATCATATTTTATTATTATGCTACACCACAGTTTACTTATCCATCCCTCTACTGATAAACATTTACTTTGTTTCCACTACAATATACTTTCAGGATACTTATTTTACAAATTTTCTCCTAAAGTGACTATTTTTCTAGGACAGATAATTAGAAGTGTAACTGCTGGGTTACAGGGTACATACATTTTTGTTTAAGTAGGTATTGCCAAATTGATCAACAAAGTAGCTGTACCAATTTTTTACTCTCACCATCAGTATATGATAGCATAATCTCCCCATTTTGGGACTCTTGCCAATATAATTGTTTAAAAAGATATATCATTCCTAAAATTGTATTCTCCTGATTACTGGTGTGGTTGAGCTCCTTTCATGTGTATTGGGCATTTGTATTTCTATTTTTGGGGAGTACCATTTTTTGATTTGTTTAAAGGTATACTTACATATTGTAGATTTTGTATATAGTCAATTCTCACTAATCACAGTAGTTATGTTCGACAAAGTCACCACCAGTATCAAATTAGCAAATACTGAGTCATTGCTCCTTGGGGAAATATGAGGTTAGGTTCCTCTGGTCATAGTATTTTTGTCAATCAATCAATACATAACTTTTTTGGGTGTTGCTGTTTAAAACACCTTATTTAGTATATATTTTTGATTCATTAACATTGAATTCATAGCCAATAGTACTATAATGCATGCCTGTACAGAGTTGATCTAACACACATTATTTTTTTCTGTAGACACATCACAGCTTTCTTGTGCTTAGGAGCACTAAACAGACTGCACTTCAATACTATGTTTGGGATCATTTTATTATTATTATTATTATTACAGTGCTAGAGATCGAACCCAAGTCTTTGTATATTTATGCTAGGCAAGCATTCTACCACTGAGCTACAGCAATAGCCCTCAAGAGACCATTTTAAATAATGAAATCATCAACAACAAAGAAAATCACAAAAAATGTAAAAAATGTGGCACTGACAGACTGTGCAGAGGAACTTGTTTGTAGAATGACAGCTGAAACAAGAAGAGTGTCGCCTTGTTTAACGTCAACTGGGAAGATGTATACATCACAGTTTTTGCTGCTCTGCACTGCCCACATCTGCAAATGATCTTGGAATGCCTCCTGTATTGGTTTAGAGGTTGCAAATACATCTTAGCAAGTGGGGAAATTCACAAATACAGGATCTGAAAATAATGAGGATCAACAGCCACCCCTCCATCTTTTCAGTGCCCAGCCACAGCAAGCAGTCATCAGGGTCTGGGAAGACTCTTGGACTGTTGCTTGTTGCCTTTTACTGTTAAATTAGAAATTTAATCTTTCACGAATGATGGCATCTAGCCCTCATTATCTTTCTCTGAGACTTGGCTACTACTCTTCTTGCCCTGATAACTCCCTGATGTTTGCCACCCTTGACTCTTTTGCTCAAGCTTAAATTCCTCCCCCTCCTTCCTGGCTGTGTTCCTTATGAAAGACCCTGTCACTGTCTCACTAGTCCTGCCCACACACCTTTTCTCATTATTTACCTTATCCTGGGATGTCTTTTCTCTTTTATTTTGCCTAACCAACTTCTACACTAACTCAACACTAATTCAAGTTGAAACTCTTTGTGCTTAATTATATACTTTTATACTTACATAATTCATAATATATATTATTTATATACTTATAACATTTATATACTTATATAATTATATACTTATATCCCCTGTGCTGTGGGCAGGTAGCATGACTTGAGGCAGAAGACATTGGCTGGATTTCATTTCACTTGTTAGCTAGGACACCTTGAGCAAGTCACCAAACCTGTCTCAACCTTGATTTTCTCATCTGTAAAATGGAGATAATAATGCCCACTTTGGGTGTTGTCTACTAAACTATACCGAAAGATCTTTTGCCTATAGGAACTTGTATCTTTCACAGTTCCTTGCAGGAAGGTTATAAAAATGTGTGCAATAAAGATTTATGAAAAAGAAACACTTGTTTTTGGCCTCTTAGAGGGATGGTCTATGCTAATGAAGGAATGGGTAGTCAGAACATCAGATTATCAAAAATTTCCTGTATTTAGTTTCTAAATAAATCTTGAGTTTGGGGAACAGTGTGTTTGTTTTATTCTATTTTGTTTGAAATAATATTAAAATTTGTTTGCTTTCCTAAGACTAGGATGAAAACATTGTCTTAGGAAATCTACCACAAAGATTAATCTTTGTGTGACAAATGGAGGGTGACAACATTAAATGACTGCAATCTACACTGAGCGCATGCAGTTAGGGATGAAAATGTTCAGATCATGAACCTCCTGGGAGATGTGCTGTTGCTTTTGAATATTCCAGGCACTCTCAGGACGCAAATGTTCCAAACATCATTTCTAATTATCTCCCGTCCATAAAGGTGCCAGCCTGCCGAATACAAGGAAATCATGTGGCCTCTTTCTTACCTGTTGTCTGTAAGCTTAAGCCTGGGTCCAACTTTGTGCGGGGCTTTGAGCTGATGAACAGGTAACAAAGCACACAGGCGGTGACAATGAAGGCCAGGAGGACCATCGCTGCTATGGAGAGCCCCACAAGAGCGCCGACACTGGGGAAAAAAGACCACATGGGAACTGAGTGTTGAGGGCCTTGGTAGGTGTGGTAGGAATCAGCTTTGACTTGGGTTCTGTCTCTGTCCTGAGCAAGTCTTCTGTGCCTTGGCATGGGAAGGAGTATCAAGTATATGCCAAGTACTCACCATATATACAGCATGACCTTTCTTCTCCTCTCCTAACCTGCAGCGTTCCTCAACCTGTTCCTACCCTAAGGATCTGGAGATAGGCTTAAAATCCTCCTGACTCCCCACCCACCAAATCAAAACACATGGTAGGCCTTAGTTAAAAAATAGCTGCATTCTAGCTTCAAGGTAATTTCTGACCCAACTTCTGTGGTCTTTCTCATCACACCAGGGTCAACTCTATATCTAAAATACCTCCCCTTACCTTGTCCTTCAAGCTCCAGCCCCACTACCTCTGACAAATTCAGGTCTTGGCCACATGGTATGAAAGAAAAAACTTTGTTTTTTCCCACATACCATCAACACATCAGTTCTAACACCAGATATGTGTTTACTCACACACACACACACACACACACACACACACACATACACACACTCTCTTCAAATTCTCTAGTGAACACCACTGTGTATTCTATTATTTAACTTAAATCTGATGCTATCTAGGTAGTGGACAGTGTCACAGGTTAAAGGCTTAGTCCCACAAACACATTCCCCACTTCAGATGCCAATTACAAGTAGAAGGTTGATTAGTGGCATGACCCTTTCCTTGGGTTAGACTAACTTGCCACGCCAGCCTACAGAACTCAGGGAAACACTGTCACCAGTTTATTTCAAAGGTTATTACAAAGGATATGGATGAATGGCCAGAGATACCTAGAGCAAAGTATGGTAGGGAAAGTACTAAGGAGCTTCTGTGTCTTCTCTAAGTATGTAACGCTCCACGGAATTCCACATGTTCAGCCACATAGAAGCTCTCTGAACATATTCCTTTTGGACTTTTATGGAGGCTTCATAACATAGTCACGAGTAACTCAACCATCAGCCTCTCTCCCCTCCTCAGAGATCAGTGGTTCAGAACTCTGATTACATCTTGCTTCCCCTGGCAATCAGCCACCACCAGAGGTTCTCCAGAGTTCACCAAGAGTTTTCTAATTAGAACAAAAGATGATCCTATCATCTTTTTGGGTCTCTGGGTCAGGAACTGGGGTCAAATACCAACTATTAGAACAAAAGATTGTCCTAGCACCCTTATCTTCAAGGGTTTTAGGAGCTCTGTCCAGGAACTAGAGGCAATAGCAAAGTATACATTTCTTTCTTTCCTTCTTTTTTGGAACTGGGATTTGAACTCAGGGTCTATACCTTAAGCCATTTCATCAGCCCATTTGTGATAGGTATTTTCAAGATAGGGTCTCTAGAACTATTTGCCCAGGCTGGCTTTGAACTGGGATCCTCCTGTTCTCTGCTTTCTGAATAGCTAGGATTACAGGCATGAGCCACCAGCACCTGGCTTACATTTCTTGTTATATCATAATATTACTTCTGGTCTCTAGAGAACTGTCCCCTGGCTCATTTGGGGGTCACTGTCTTTCCTATTTCACATGACCTCTTCCCATTATCTCCTCACAATGGAATTTCACCTGTGTTTGAAGCCCCATCACAAATGCCCTATCCTCAATGCTCTCTTGGTCATCCCTCTCCCCTCCTTTTCTCCCATGTGTCCTATCCAGGACACATTACTTAGGGCCTTAGCACTTCCCTCTTGGTCAGGTAACCTGGTGAGGTAAGGAAAGAGCAAAAGGCTTTGGAATAAGACCAACCTAGGTTATGACCCAGCTTGGAAACTAACTTACTGTGAGATCTGAAAGTTATGTAACCTTTTAAGTCTCAGTTTCCTTGTCTGGAAAGCAACAGGGATCAAAACACAGCATCTAGTGACAGAAAGGGTGAATGTCATTGAAATATTCCTGGTACATAGTAAGTGTTCAGCATATTTCTTGTGTATCCCCCTCAAAGATAGAATCAGACCATGGTTAATTAGATTTGTCTTCCCCTTGTACAGGGCCTGGCACAACGTAGGTACTTGGTAAACATTACTGAGTACCTGCTGTGTGGCAGTACTATGGGATGCTCTCCAATAGGGAGGGACAGGTAGGAACCAGGTTTTGTTTATTTCTGCCTACCATTCCTAATTCTGATTTTTTTCTCCATGCTCTTCCCTGACTCTAGTTCCAGATTCCTGCCCTTCTGACTTCTGCAGGATTTCATTCTCAGCTTTTGGTTAATTGCCACTAAATGACACCTTAAAGCCAGGCACAGTGGCATGTGCCTACAGTTTTAGGTACTTGGGTGGCTGAGGTAGGGGGATGGCTTGAATCCGGGAGTTTGTGGCTAGCTCGGGCAACATGGCAATACCCTATCTTTTAAAAGAAACAATATAATACAAAACAAAAAACCCCACCACATTAGTTTTGAAGAGTCTGCTTTACTATGATTAATTGTTGGACACCCTTGCAATGGAAAAAACCATTAAGACATGTTTTCTTTTCTTCTTCTTCTTTTTTTTTTTTTTGGCAGTACTGGGGTTTGAACACAGAGCCTCTCGCTTTTTAGGCAGATGCTCCACCACATGAGCTTCTCTGACAGACCAAGATATGCTTTCAAATAATATTTATGGTCATGAATAGGTTTCTTTTTTTTTTTTGAGTTAGGGTCTCACTATGTCACTCTGGCTGACCTTGAACTAGAGTCTCCTGTCTCTGCCTTCCAAGTGCTGACCAATCGTGCCCAGCTAACCATGGACACATTCTTATGAGGTAATGTTAAGTGAAACAGCAAGACACTACTAAATATATAACATAACCCCAATTTAACTACGTAAACATATAAATATATATACATATGTAAGGTTGGATGGAAATACACCAAACTGCTAACAAGCTATCTCTGAGTATAGTGCAGTCTGTGCATATCCTGTGTGTGTCCCCTTGGGTCTTATCATTGTATAATATTCTGGTAAGATTTTAATTGCTATCATCTATATCTTTTTGCCTGAGGGCCTTCTTGGACCCAGAACAGGCTTTGCACCGCTGAGCAGTTCAGAAGTACAGATACTTAATGTCCCCTTTCCTCTACTAACCCACAACCAAAGTGGTTACATAAATACCCATTTTCCTGTCCCTCAGATGGTATAACCTGAGATACATTCTACAATGGATGGCAGAGTTTAGGCTCTGATTACCTTGGTGTGACTTGCTTGGCAATATACCCATTGTCATCTTCTTTCCCAGTTTCACCTCTCACCCTCTACCACTGTTTTTTGGGATTGCTTTCTATGTAAACTACTCACCATCAAATCTTTACCTCAGAGTCTTGTGGGAACACAAACTAAGACACTGGAATACCCAAGATTGCTTTCTCCCTTTGTTTCTACTGTTCTTTTCACATTTTCCACATTGAGTACGTACTTTAGTTCTCATAAGTACTTTTAATTAAACACTGTTTTCTCATTTGATATTTATGCTTACTGTTCATAGGGCTATTATCTGGTAGACCTGTACACAGGTGGGGACCTCACTTTTTATTAGGGACATCTATGGGGACCTGGATGGGAAAAGACCTCTGAAAGGACCCTTTGTGGGTAAGGAACTGGGGGATGTGTCCCAGACTGGGGATCAGCCAAAAATCTCTGAAAGGCACTATGTCTGCTGGTCTGTCTGGGGACCAAGAAATAGCTTCTATGTAGAGCTGGAAATAACATGGGAGGCTCCCTGGGGATAACCTGGTTTTAGTATAAGACGAATTTTAAATAATAATAGTTGTCCTGTAGTGAAGGCACTGCCTAAGGAGATGGTGGGTTCCCTGTTTCAGGAGAGGTTTGCAATGGGGGGAAGAGGGACATAGAATGATGGAGGGGATGAATTTAACTAAGATATATTGTAAGCACTTTTGTAAGTGTTGCAATGTACCCCCCAGTACATCAATAATATGCTAATAAAAAATTTCAAAAAGAGAAAAATAAATAAGTAAATTAAACTAAAAAGGAGAGGTTTTCACAGGACACCTGGCTAAGTATGCCTGTTCTTTTTAATTATTTATTCATACGTGTATTCATTGTTTGGGCCACCTCGTTCCCCTGCCCCCTGAGTATGCCTGTTGATAGAGTTAGAATCGTGCCCTAGGTAGAAATTAGACTAGAAAAACTCTAGCTTTGTAGAATTTCACTGTTCTACATGACAAAAAAACCCACTGTGACCCCTAAGAAAGAATTGGAGAATCAGTTTTGGCATAATTCTAAGTTTGAATCCTGGTTCTGCCACATGTAAGCTGGAAAATCATTTTATCCTCTGACCTTCATTTGTAAAGGTTTTTATCTCACCAGGTAGCTATAGGGATGATAGGCTCAGGATCATGGTATATACAGTGCCTGACTACCAACTCTGCCCTCCAACAAGTGTGCTGCCTTCTGGCTCACATTCTGGTAAAGGCAGAACCAGTGGTAGAAGGTGTTTGGCACACAAATCAGCTGGTTTAAGAAAGCCAGCTGCTTCTCCACAGGCTGTCTTGGCTCCCTGAGACGCTTCATTTTTAAAGACAGCCATTCTCTTCAAGCACTCTCTCTCCAAGGAAACAGAGCTCACCTGGAGATTTTCATGTTTATAAGGACCAGCTCTCATGAAAAGGGCCAAATGGAATTCTGAGCAAAACAAGGTCTCTACCCTGCAGTGTGGGGCTCTATCAGGAGCACCTGGGAAAACAAGTTTCAGAGTTCAGAGCACACTGATCATCTAGGCGTCCTAAGGATCCTCACCCCCTCCTCTGCTTTGCAACTATCGGTGACATTTTTGAACATTATGTTGGAACCTAGAAAGAGTCACCCTACATACTGGAGCCTTTCAACTGTCCCTGGGGTCACACTGACACGAGATGTAGCCTCAGAGATCATCCCACCTAGCCCTTCACTAAAGCATTATCTGAACCACTAAAACATTCCATGGGGAAGGGGTTTCCAAAGCAACAGGAAGGATTACAGAGGTAAGTAGGGAAGGGGGCAATGGTGAGGGGGGGAGGTACTGGCTTGGTGCTGAAAGGATTACTCACTGCTGAAACCAAAGACCAAGCACAGTGCTCAGAAGACAATACAGGGTCAGTGAGTATTTTTTGAGCAATCTGAGTAAATCAGGTTATAAGAAGGCCAGGCTAGTTTAGACAGTCATGTAACAGAACAAGACTGGACTTAGGCCAGACAAGCCTGAGGTTTCATCCCAGTTCTGCCACTTCTTGCTGGGGCATACCCAGATAGTAACTTAACCTCTCTTAAGTTTTCTCTTCTGCAAAATGGAGAAGATGTGGCAAGGCTGTGATTTTGTGAAAGCATCTAACCCTTGGATGGTCCTAGGTAATGTCGTCTAAGTCTCTGCTGTGATATTGCTTGAAGATCTTAGATAATTCACTTGCATACTCTCAGCTTCACTTCCCACATACATGAACCAAGGAAAGGGAACTCTCTTCTACTGAGCACCTACTATATGCGCTGGTCACTTTCACATGCATTATTTTATTTATTTCTCACAACAATTTCATGAGTCAGGCATTACTATCCCCACTTTAAAGATGAGAAATGTGACCAGGAGATTAAGTAACTTCCAATCCACATAGCTCATCAGATAGAGTGACGCTTTGGACCAGGTTCTGACCAGACCCAAGCTCCAGACTGTCTATGTACTTAAAAAGTAGGTCAGTACTACCTTGATTCAGCTCCTAGCTGAGTGGTAAACACACAGTGGGCCTTCAACAAATAGCCCATTGTTTTACTTTCTGTGCACGGTGACTTAAAGTCTCTCTTAAATGGACTGGAAGCTCCTCTGAAGCAGAGAATAGTTGATGTTTGTGTACTCAGTGTCTTGCAAAGTGCCTGGAACTCAGCAAAGGCTACAGTGAATGGATGAACACATGCATGAGTGGAAAATAAAATAATGGGTCTGATAACCTGGCCATCTGACAATCTTTTAGAATTACAGATTGAACAGTCCGGAAAAAGCAATATTTGTAACTATCACTGGTATATACCAAACTAATTTCACCCCTGTTATTTGATCCTTGCCACTGCTTTAGTCAGAATTCAGGGCAATGATTGGTCATTCTCCCCATTTGATAGATGAAAAGACAGAGGCTCAGAGAGGTTTCAATAGTATGTGATGCTGTCTGTCCTCTCCCATACTGGTAGCATGAAACTTCTGCTCATATACCTCTGGGGACAGGAAAATGCCTATCTATTGAGATGGCTCACTCCGTTTTTGCTGATGCCTTTTTCCCAGAGCAGGTTGAGGATCAGTTCCCTTTGTCTGGGTGAAGCCTTTGAAGACCTAGCGGGATTAAGACCTAATGTCTCCTTGACCCTATGCTTAGGTTCCAGGAATGTCAGAATTGCCTAAATGACCCCTTTCCTGAACAGCTGGGGAAACTGAAGTGCTACACTTCTATTAATATGGCCCCAGCTGTCTTCTGTTGTGGCATTATGTCACTGTGTCATGAAGAACCTGGAGACCACTCTGACCCTTGGGTTTGCTTTAGCTCTAGTATGGAGTTCATCCCCAGTGCTCACCATAGGGCTGGACACCCCTAGGTGTTCAGTTTGGAGTTAGTGAAAGAATGAATGTGAAATTGCAGGAAAGGGTTGAGGCTGGGCTGAGGCTGGGTTGGGGTACAGCACCCATGAGGATTCAGGTCTAAGGCTGAGGTTCGTTCGGATGCATGGCTACATCATATGTGAAGTGAGGATGCAGGTGAAGGGCTCAGGTGGGACTGCAAACAGCCTTGAGGAGAAGGCTGTGGTGGGTGAAAAGTAAGGACTGGGATCAGTAGAGAACTGGGTAAAGTCAGGAATGAGGCTGGCGCTGATATCAGGAAGGGGCCTCTGGTGGGTACCTAGATGAGAACTAGGGTGGAGTGTGGATTTCCTGTGAATGTCTGAAATGGAAGTTTGCAGTTAGGATGAGAGTTGGTATGTGATTTGGGGTTGGGTTAAGGGTGGTGGTAGAATGAAATTTGGAGTGAAGGCAGAGGCAGGACTTGGGGCAGAGTTGGGGTGAGGGTCAAGCATGACTCTAAACAATGGTTGGGGTCAGGATGAAGGCTTCAGCGGGAGGTTAGGCTGGTGATAGGGTTAGAGTAGGGACAGCCTTAGGCTTAAGGGGTAATGGTGGGTAGAGGGGTGGTGCTGATGCTCAGGTGGGCACTTAGGACTGAGCTGAGGGTAGGGCAAGGGGGCTAAGACTGGAGTGGGTGAGGTTCAAGGTGGGGTTAGGGCCAGCGCGGGTACCTGAGCCACCACATGTAGTTGTGCTCGTAGGGGAAGAAGCTGTGCGGGTCGTCGCAGCAGTACTTGAGGTCGCGGAAGCCGCAGCAGAAGACGGCGGCCGCCTCGCCCCCCGGCCGCGGGCAGCTGAAGCCACGCACCACCTCCTGCTCGGCGCTCATGTAGCTCGTGCAGGCGCCGCTCATCGCGCCCGCCGGCCCCTCGGGTCACCCGACGGCTGGGGGACGAGGGTCCCGCGAGCGAAGGACGGTGGGACACCGCGCTGAGCCTGAGAAAGACGGAGAAACAACGGGGCAGAGACGCACGGAGAAAGTCACCGCGCGCGGCGCGGAGACCAGGGCTGGGGACCGGGAGCCCCCAGGTACGCGGCCACGGCGGCCGGCCGCGGGAAAGTGCGGGGGCAGAGGAGCGGGAGAAGGCAGAGCAGCGCGGGAGTGCAGGGCGGCGGGCAGCTGAGTGCGGGGCGCTGTCCCGGAGCCACGCGCATGCCGTTGTGCGCGCGCTGCCCGCACCCGCCCCGCTTCTTCTCAGGGGCGGGACCCAGGACGCTGCGTGCTCCCACAGGACACGCACAGCCAGGGTGGCAGGGCTGGCATTCGAGGCCAAGGGCGTGGGTTCCTCACCTGCACCATGCACCTTCCTGGCGCTGGGCCTTTCAGAGCAGTTCTAGGTTATGCGGGAGGCAGACACCTACTCCCCCCGTAGGGTCATGCGGGCGTGATTAACATACTACTTCATTTAACTGGCACAACGACCCAAAGCACCAGGGATTTTCAAGCCCATCTTACAGACGAGAGCAGAGGACCAGAGACAACTCATTTCCCCAGGTCCCTGGGCCCATGGGTTTCTAACCCGTGTCTGTCTACTTGGGAATCCCTGGCTGCAGCAATCAGAGCACCTCTTTTTCCAGCGACCTTTTAAATGTCTTCATTTTTCTGGCTTCTTGTTTGTCTCTTCTTTTGCCCTCCTGCACTGACAATGTTCATATTCCCAGCCACTGCGCCAAGACAAAGGCAAGGGAGCTAGTGTGGGTGGGGGTTGTCTCAGAGGTTAACCCCATTCCTTTCCCCCACCTAAAGTAGAGCCAACAGGACTCTCTGCATTCAGAAATCATTTCCTGATCACCAAAGCAATGTTCTCACTAGAATTAGGGAACCACAGTCTGACGATGCTTTCAGAACTTGGTCCCCCAGTGTACCCTGAGAAGAGAGACAGGAGATCTTTATACTGCCCCTTCATGGCCGGAGCTCTCCATGTTTGTCACAGCGGTGGATAGAATAGGATATGGTTTATGTGATGCCTTGGCATCCCGATTCCTCCCCTTTTGTTTTGGATGTGTGGGGGATAGGTCACAGTGATCAAAGGCTCTGGATTCAAGCCCAACTGTATCCCTTCCCTGCTGTTTTCTCTGTGCTTCAGGTTCCTTGTCTTCCTCCAAGCTAGCTCCATAGATGCTGATGTGCGCCATACCTCTGACATGGGCCTGAGGACCCCTGAGTGGGGTCAGATCTGGGTCTTCCCTTGAGAAACATATCTTTTGGTAGAGGATTCAGACAGCCCATCACAGAACAGGGCAGTGAAAAGGGAAATGAAGGAACCATAGGCACAAAAGGTACCACCTGAGGAAGCAGGAAAGGGATTTGAGGGGGTAGTGCCCTCAAGGGCCACTGCAAGGTCAAATATAAAAACTGGAGGGAGTTGGGTACAGTGGCCATAAGTCCCAGCTCCTTAGCAGGCTCAGGCAAGAGGATTGCTTTAGCCCAGGAATTCAAGGCCAAGCCTGGGCCACATAAACCCCATCTTAAAAAGAAAAAAAAAGGAAAAAAGTAACTTATTTTTGGCTAGGGATATAGCTTAATGATACATTGGCCTACTGTGCATGAGGCCCTGGATTTCGTCCTCAGCACCTCAAAAACAAAACTAGAATAGTTGTTATTTCCCAGAAAAATCCCTCACCTCCTTGCAGCCTGGGAGCTGTATGGCCCACTCTAATGAAGGTGCACTTTGGCCTCTGTTTATCAGAAGAAAAATAAAGGGATGGAATCCTTTGGGAAGGAAAGAAACCTCTTGGAAACAGAGTGATCAGCTGCTCTGGCTTTTGGCAAAACTGAAGACAATTTCCAAAGCCCTTTTCCAGCCAAGAATTAATTTGTTCCTTCCAACAACCCTGAGGGAGGATTGGGTCCCTGAGAGAAATAGCAACCACAATGTCACACAGCAATCAATGGCCTAGGCAGGACTAGTACCCATGTCAGTCTAGCCACAAGTTCCGTATGGATTCTAATGAAGCCCATGCACCCCTATTCACAACGATGGTTTTAACTGATTTTTATTTAGGATTACAAAAGCTACCAATTGTATTGAATAGTGATTTAGTTCTACTTTAAAAAAAAGTGTCAACAAGATCTAGAGTTGAGGTGGTGAATGAAAATAAACCATTTCAAGATTCTCTACTGTAATGCAATGTGAAAATAACTGTGATTTGTACTGGTGATTTATGACAGACACTAATAGTACTGTGGATTTTTTTTTGTATGCTTATGTGAATAATAGAAGGAAATGCTAAAGTCCAGAGGTCAGTAATAACAAGGATATTTTTCTTTTCTTTCCTCCTTCCTTTATTCCTCCTTTCCTTCCTTTCTTTCCTTTTAGTATTGGAGTTTGAACTCAAGGCTAGGCTGGAACTCTACCACTTGAGCCACTCCATCAGCCCAAGGATGTAGTTTTTCTAAGTTCATGGAGCCTCTGCACTCCACCTAAGGGACGTTTGGGCTCTGCGACTCATATGTGAAAATCGTCTAGTTTCTCTGGTCTAGCTTCTCTCTTTAATGCTGTTTTTTCTCTAAGTTCATTATGTTCCTTCATTATGTTCTCATGCAGACATTTGTTATAGACTTACTATGGGCCAGGCAGTGTCACATCCTGTATGCTCTGTAGTCCTTGAAAACTTCAGTGTAGACATTAGTCTTCCCATTTTGCAGACAAAGTAACTGAGACTCAGGGAAGTTAAGTGATTTACCCAGAGCCTCACAGCCTGTAACTGGGCAGAGCTCTGTACCAACCACATCTTCCTTCCTCCCCAACTGAGGTCTGAGGGTCAGAGATTCCAACAACAGAAGGAGAAGAAAGCATAGGAGGGAGGGAGGGAAGGTAGTCACCACAACTGGGTGCCTGTGGTGCACACCTGTAATTCCAGTTACTTGGGAGGCTGAGATTGAGAAGATAGAAGTTTGAGGTCAACCAGGGATTTGCTGAGACTCCATTTCCAAAATAACCAGTGCAAAATATACTGGAGATGTGGCTCAAGCAGTAGAGCTTCTGTTTGCAAATGCAAAGCCCTGAGTTTAAACCCCACTCCTACCAAAAAAAAAAAAAAAAAACCTCACCACAACCCTGTACAGTATTATTCTCTCTTTAAAAAAGGTAAAATTAAAGAGCTACATATACATTGGTTATGAAACAACAAATTAGAAAATACAAATAAACCAAAAGAAAAATTAAAAGCACCCATAGTCTTACCACTTATGTAAGTGGTAACACACACACATACACACACACAGAGTTATGCACTCACTCTATGGATAGGAAAACTGAAACCTAGAGAGGCTAAGTAAATTGCCAAAGAAGGACTGGAGGTATGGCTCAAGCAGTAGAGTACCTGCCTTGCAGTGTGGAGGCCTGAGTTCAAAACCCCGGTGCCACCAAAAAAAAAAAAAAAAAAAGTAAATTGCCAAAGAATATGCAAGTAATAAGTACCAGTCATCTGCTGAGTGACCTTAGGCTGCTCATGACCTTAGGCTGCTCATGGTTGCTTTCTGCATTAGGTCAGTAGCTAAGAAGTAGTGTGTTCCACTCAATGTCACAAAGCAGATCAATGGTATCCAGGCCCAGGTGCATGTGTGGTCCAGGCCTGTCCCTGGCTTCTGGACTGGACAGAGCTGGAGCTCCCCTGTCCACCTCCCTCCTGCCCCAGCTATACCTGCCCAGTGGTGTGGACTGAGGAGACACAGCCACCCATGCTCCCTAGCCCCAGGCTCTGGAAGCAGCTTGCAGTTCTCCACAGCTGGAGAAGCAAAGGAAGGACACAGACCTATATCAAATTCCTCTAAGTGCCACCTCAGGAAGGATTCTTTCCCTTCTTTTCCAGAATGAGTTCCATGACTCATTCTGATTAGAAAGTGACTTAGCCACCACAGAACATCAAACAGGCAGACACATTGATACTTTGGCCAGGCTCTTCCCCATACTTGGTGGCCATTCTTCCTTGCAGGTTTTTGTTGGTGTGCTGTACTTTTTTACTACACAATCTTTAAGACCCACAAAATGACATAAAGAATGACATAAAGAATGTACCCGCCACTCAGTTTAAGAAATAAAAAGTCGGTTTTGGGGGTGGAGGGGGAGGTGGTCCAAACAATTTATACACATGTGAGTAAATGTAAAAATAATAAAATTTTTAAAATTCAAGCTCTTGGGTTTGGAGTTCCCTGTGTATTCCTCCTTATTTCCCCATGAGCTAACCTCTCTTCTGAATTTGGTGTTTACCTCTCCACATTCTTATTTATGTTCTCAGGTATGTTTGGATCTTTCAGCAATGTTTGGAATTGCTCTGCCCAGGATTACAACTTAAATAATAGCATCACACTGCAGTGTTCTTCACGAATTTAGTTTCTTACTGTCACATTTGTAAGCTTTGACTCATGCTTGTTAATCCTAGCTACTCAGGAAGCAGAGATCAAGAGGATCAAGGTTCAAAGCCAGCCCAGGCAAATAGTTCATAAGACCTTATCTTGAAAAAAACCTTTACAAAAAAGGACTGGTTGAGTGGCTCAAGGTGTAGGCCCTGAGTTCAAACCCTAGTACCAGGAAAAAAAAAATAGTGAGCTTTGTCTACACTGATGTGTATGCTTGTATCTAGTTTATCCATTCTTGCTGCTTATATAGCTTTCTGTTTCATGTACATCTGCTGCTATTACAATGATGCTTCTTTTGAGTCTTTCCATCCTTCTTTCTTTTTCTTTTTTTCAGTTCTGGGAATCAAACCCAGGGCCTTAGGCCTTCTAGACAAACACTCTACCAGTGAACTATACCACCTCCTCCAACCCCATTGTTTTTTCTTTTAAAATCAACTTTATCAGGGTAGATTTTATAAACAGTAAAATGTATGCGCTTTGAGTGTACCTCGTGGTAAGTGTTGATAAATGTATTCATCCATGTAAGCACCGCCACAGTCAAAATACAGCACACTGCCATTACGTGTCACCATCCCATGGGCCCTTTGCAATCAACTCCTGTCTCCTGAGTCTTAGGCAGCCCTGCTCTGCTCCGTGTCCCCGTATTTGGATTTTATGTTAATGAAATCAAATCGTAT